TGTGTTGTCCGGTTTTTGTTTCTGAATTTGTTACTAATCTTTCTATTCAAGTTAAAGTTCCTCATTCAGTTCCTCCTCTAGAGAGGGTGGGGGATAATGTACATTATTTTGCTTTGTTTGGCAATTTTTTTTGATACTATTTGGCTTTTTTTTTTTCATTTATCCAAAAGCCAATTATTTGATGGTTTTTTTAACAGGTCAAGCCCTGGGTTAAAACCAGTCTTGCTCCTGGATCTGGTGTAGTTACAAAATATCTGAAAAAGAGGTAATGGTTTTTGTTATTTATTGATGACATAAATTTTTAATTAAGTTAATCAAAATGGATGTTTATGGGTCATTATTATTTTTGGTTTGTGTTTTATATAGTGGTCTGCAGAAGTACTTGGATCAACAGGGCTTCAACATTGTCGGTTATGGTTGCACAACTTGTATTGGAAACTCTGGTGATCTAGATGAATCTGTTTCTGCCGCTATTTCTGAAAATGGTACGTTCTTGGTTTAAATGTAAATTTATGCTTTAGCTTTGTCTGTAATGCTACATTTTAGTGTAAACCTTTTTGATGAAATTTTCCAAATGTAGTTCAGTCTCTGTATCGTGGTTCATATCACAGTTGATTTTATATTTCCTGAATTTTGCTACAAGTCTGCTTGTGTGGTTACCCTGAAATGCGCAGAGCCACATAAGACTAGCTCTTTAAAATGTAAAAATGTGTAAAACTTGAAATTCAGTGACTGACATTTATTTAACCTGGGTTGTAACATGAATGCTCATATTAGGTGTACTTTTGTGCTAAGACATTCTTATAATCTAATGTGGTATGCCTGGTTTCTTTATGCAGATATTGTTGCAGCAGCTGTGCTTTCTGGTAACCGTAATTTTGAAGGTCGTGTTCACCCTCTGACACGAGCCAACTATCTTGCTTCTCCTCCATTGGTTGTTGCTTATGCATTGGCTGGAACTGTAAGTACACATAATTACCTACTGATTTCTGATAAGCACAGTATAATATATTTAATGGTGTATATGATACTCAAAATATAGACCTTGATACAGATGCAGGTTTGAGCTCTGATTGTTTATGGTATCTAAAGGTTGTCTAATTATCAGTTGTGTATTTGATAATGCAATAATACCTCGAGGAAGTTTGATAGATCATGGAACTGCATCATTTAGATAATTCTAGCTCTGTTGGAGTTTTAATATCGAGTCTGTAAGTATTTAAAAGAAACTGTTTTGATAGGCCATGAGGATTCAAACTTTAGTATTAATGAACAAGGGTAGGATGCTATGTTTGTTCTAAGTTGTTCTGTTAGCGGACTCGATCTGTTACAAATGGGTGAATGCGAGGAACAACCCTAGAACCCTGAAGGAATATATATATATATATATATATATATATATATATATATATATATATATATATATATATATATATATATATATATATATATATATATATAGAGAGAGAGAGAGAGAGAGAGAGAGAGAGAGAGAGAGAGAGAGAGAGAGAGAGAGAGAACATTTTACTTGTAATCTGGATACAACCTTGGGTGAATCAGATTGTAATGATGCGTCTGGAATGGTGAATGTGATGAACAACCCTAGAACTCTGTAGGGTTTAGAGCTAAATAAAGTTTGACTTGTTTTGCAATCTGGATACATCCTTGGGTGAATTGAATTAAAATGATGTGTCCAGAATTTTTTGTGGAAGGATATTGCTCCTATGAGTGTTTTAGTGCCTTGATTCTAGGGGTTTTGTGGGCAACTGATGTAGAATTGGTATGAATCTAGCTGTCACTGTTGTCAGGGGTTTGCACTTCGTAAGGCAACCTTGTCTGGTGCTTGTGTATACTAGTAACCCATGCATCTTTACTGTCCTGCCTGGGTCATGTGTTACATAATACATATCCTGGAAAAATGAGCTTAGCTACATGCTTTTTAATTTTTTTTAAAAAAAAGTTATCATTATAATTTTTATCTTCTGGATGTCTTCCACATATCTGTGCCATGTGTGGTCTATGCACAGTGAAATAAATTATGATCAATAATTCATTTTATCAGGGGCTGAGCCAATAAACACAGAATTCACTATTTTTCTCAGTACCATTTTCTTTTGGTCTTTTCTTTCATCTTCAGATGTTTATTTTATTGAAGGGGATAGCAGTTGAAAGTATTGATTGACCCAATCAATCTTGCATTTTATAGGTTGATATTGACTTTGATAAAGATCCTATTGGTACTGGAAAGGATGGAAAGAGTGTTTACTTCAGAGACATTTGGCCTAGCAATGATGAGATAGCTCAGGTATATATGACCTTTGTAATAGGCTCTCTGTATGCATTCTTTTTGTGATGGGCAATGAATTTTAATGCTCTATATGCTGATTTAGGTTGTGCAATCAAGTGTATTGCCCGACATGTTCAAAAGTACCTATGAAGCTATCACTAAGGGGAACCCAATGTGGAATTCTCTTGAAGTTCCTGCTGGCACCCTCTACAAGTGGGACCCAAACTCCACATATATACATGAACCCCCATATTTCAAGAATATGAGCTTGAATCCACCTGGACCTTTTGGAGTAAAGGATGCCTATTGTCTTCTTAATTTCGGCGACAGTATCACTACCGATCATATCTCACCAGCAGGGAGCATCCACAAGGATAGTCCTGCAGCCAAGTTTTTACTAGAACGTGGGGTTGATCGCAAAGATTTCAACTCATATGGTAGCCGTAGAGGCAATGACGAAGTGATGGCAAGGGGTACCTTCGCAAACATTCGCATTGTAAACAAGCTTTTGAATGGAGAAGTGGGTCCAAAAACAATTCACATTCCAACTGGGGAGAAGTTGTATGTTTTTGATGCTGCAATGGTAAAAACTAACTCTTTATTTTTTGCTTTTGACATTTATGGTGAATCTTCCATTTTGCTAGTGCCTAGTAATTGAAGCTAATTGCATGAGATGTGTAAAGTTAATCTCAATCTCAATTGCAGAGGTACAAGGAGGCTGGTCATGACACCATTGTCCTAGCTGGTGCTGAGTATGGAAGTGGTAGTTCAAGGGATTGGGCTGCTAAAGGTCCAATGTTGCAGGTAAGTGTTAAATGGTGTATGAATTCTTTTGCTCGTGTTTTTATGAAATTGTTGCTTAATAATGGAAATAAATTATTTGATGTGACAGGGCGTGAAAGCTGTGATCTCTAAGAGTTTTGAGAGGATCCACCGTAGTAATCTTGTAGGTATGGGAGTTATCCCGCTATGCTTCAAGGCTGGCGAGGATGCCGAAACATTAGGGCTAACTGGTCATGAGAGATACACAATTGACCTTCCTTCTAAAGTTAGCGAGATTAGACCAGGACAAGATGTCACAGTTAAAACTGACAATGGAAAGTCGTTTGTTTGCACCCTCCGCTTCGACACAGAGGTGCTTAATAACATCTATTCATTTTGATTTGCTTGTTATAATTTTGCTTGGGTACTTGAGCGGGAAATTATGGAATACTAATCGTATGTAATTGTTTTGTAGGTTGAGCTGGCCTATTTCGACCATGGTGGAATCCTTCCATACGTCATTCGTCAATTGATGAAGCAACAATAATCATTCTTGGATTGAAATCAGTTTTGTCCTTTCTTGCTCTCCTCTACCTCTTTCAGACAGCGAAGAGTTCTCAATTGAGAGTTTTTGTTAATAATTGAGCACCTTGTTTTTGGCTAATAATTGAGCACCGTGTGATTTGAAATTTCATGAACTCGTGTGCTTTAGGCTATAAAATTTTCAACCATTAAATCTCTAAGTGGTTTAATTTATTTTAATTCATAGTGGTTTAATTAATTTCCTTAACGAGTGTTTATTGAATTGTCTTCCATCTATTTTATGCTTAGTTTTGTTTGAAAATTATGATAAGAGTCATTTATACTCCATATTGAATAGTATCAAGTAGCGGCATCACTGGCATGTACTTTGTGAATCTCCAATGTAACTTGTTACTTTTTCAGTTTCTTAATACATGCAAGTTGATTTTATTTTTAATGAATGTATAATAAAGTCAACTTGTTGAATATGTTAAACCAACGGAGTATTATTTTGTATTTTTAAGTGAATTGCTATTTGCAACCAAAAGCATTACTCTTAACGCCATATTTAGTTGCCTCTGTCATGCCAAATGCCAACATAATTTCCTGCAAACAACCCAACTTTTCAGTTGGTACTATGGATGCAATTTTGGTGATGACGATTTGTGTACATCTCAGGGAGGCTATGCTGTGGGTCTGGGTGATGATGAACATTTGTCGTTGGCACGACAGGTAATATATATGTAGTATGTTTTTAACGTTGAGGCACTTGCTTTACATGCCTAAACTATGGCATAGGCGCTTGCTTTACACACCTATAACATGGCACAGGTGCCTGTGGTGTTTTGCAGATTGCATCTTGCCCATGGTATAGGCCATGGGTGTGGAACATATTACACGTGATTACGTGTGCAATAATATTTGTATATGGCTTATATGCAATAGGGATAATTTCACAATAGTCTGTGGTAAGTTGCTCACAAATTAATACGCAGTTTACTCCTTATTTAAGGCAAAAGTATTGTTTCCTACAAAACTATGCATCATTTTACATTTGATCATGGTAACATGCATAACACACTTACACCTTATGTGATGCAGTAATTTGTTTTAGAAAGAAACTCATAGGGTTTATGATCAACACACTTAACACCTTAATTAGCTATAAAATTGTGTACACTCTTCTTCTTTCTTTTACAAGCTTACAACCTTTAATTAACCCCTTCTTTTAGATTTTATTACTTGCCTACTTGTAACTCTTTAAGTCCTTTTTTTCTCTTCATGATACTTTCTAAATGTGTAATAAGTTAGCCCTTTTTTCAAGTGTTCATTTACTTTGATAGACTGCATGCAACTTTATACATGTCTACTTGTAGAATTGTAACAAAACTCGGATCTAATAATAACAATGTTTTTTCGTACAAAAAGAATTATTATTAAGTAGGAGTAAATGATACAAGAAGTATATGATTATACAAAAGTAATCATCTATGGAGTATAATGTTATAGATCAAATGAACATATTGATCAAAACCGAAACCTTTCAATATCTTTAGCATTATGGAGTATTCTTATTTCAAACTGCAATGATAGCAGAAACGCTTGAAGTAATGAAGAGAAGGAAGAGGGTGAAATGAAATGAAAATTTGGTCTTGTTCCCGTTTGATGTACTTCCTGTAGTTGATTTCGATCCAGCTCCTGCAATCATATATCAATTATTAAAGGATATTTTCATTAACTTAGCAAGAAATAAAATGTGAAGATGCACATAAATAAGCTTTGGAGTACCAGCTGAAGGAGTGCTAGAGACTGTTGGCGATGTTGGAGAGTCATCAGGATTGACTGAACCCTCTGGTGTCGAGGCATCAGCAGGCGAAGCTGTTGGGGAACCAACAGGGGATGCTGCAGAGGTTCCTCCTGATGATGGCTGGTTTGCAGCTGCAACATATATCATACAATATCTTTGTTAATATTCATAATACATAAAGTTTAATCATATATTATGCACACTTATAAGTTAAGACCCTTAATTTCGGGTGCAAACTTTTATCAACTTCACCAGCAGAAAAGGAAGAGATGATGCTTACCATTGCACTTGCTAACAGGAGGAGTTTGAACGTTGCAGGCGGTTGGGAGGGCTAGAGCCTGGGTCTGATTGATGGTGACTCCAAAGTTGGAGGCACCGCCATTAAGCACTTGACAAAGGCACTGAGGTTGTGATTTAACAACACTAGATAGTTGCGAACAGCATGAAGAGGATGGGGTAGAAGAGCTTCCTGAGATATAATTAAGACATGGGGCTAATCCCACTATTGCAGATGTGCACCCTGACTGAGCCAAAGCTCCACCCGATAACATGCTCATGACTAGCACCATCGCGACTAGTGAAGAAGCCATTTTTGTGTGTATAAAAACTACTGAAACAAAGTTTTTTTTTTTTTTTCCTTTGTTGTATGTTTTTATCCTTAAGAGTAGGAGTAGATTGAATGCCAGATAATAATATTGGAGTTGAGTTTTATAGTGAGGTTACTTACAAAGAGAAGTCAAAATAATTATGTTGGTCACCTAAAATTTCTAATTTAGGCATGTAAGTGAACTAACTTCCAGGTGTGTATTATTATGAGAGTATAATTAAGAAGGCAACAGGAAAAAGACAGTTCTGTTATTGTTATATTCAACAGCAAATAAATATTTGTCAATGTTATATACTTAAGTACTAATAAGGAGATTACATTGTTTAATAATTAAAGTTAGGTACTCATGATGCAAATTTTATTAATTACTTGGACAATATTAGTTCTTTAATTAATGTCGAAACATCATTTATTAGAATAGTAAACATTAAATTGCCTACCGTTCAAGTATGTTACAATAAAAAGTGACTGAAAATGAAATGTAAAGTTATGAACTCTCTACAGGAGTACATGCAGGATATTTGACTAAGGTGAAGGTAGTAGATTCTTTTTTTTTTTTTTTTTTTTGGTTGTTGTTGTTGTAAGAGCTACAAAGTAGTGATGTAGCCATGTAAGTGGGGTTTAAAATCAAATTTTAAGTATGAACCAAAACTTAAACCAACTAAACAATGTCATCCACAAAATCATGGTTACACTAGTTATTACTCCTACATTTTATTAAGGATTGTTAGGAGGAAATTTTGTATTTTCCCACCCACCAAATACACACATTTTGAAATGACCATCCAAAAATAATTTATTTTAAATTACCACTTATTAATTTAAAATAAATATTTAAATCATCACCTTTTACCTCTTTTCAGTTATTTTTTTTCCAATTTATGTACCTATGTTACTTCTTAAGATCTTATGGAAATGCTCTTTGTCTATAGAAACTCAGTTTTTGTGGGATTTTTTTATTTTTTTTTGTAGATTTGTTTGTTTCATAATATCTAGCAAGTTGGAAAGTTTACAATTTTAAAAATCTTATATACTATTGGGTTTTGATAGCTCTGCTATTTGTTTGACCATATATCCAGCAATAAATAAATCTCTTAAAATAATGTTTTTTTTTTTTTTGAAGACCAAAATAATGGTAATTAGTTTTTGCTTTGTTTAGTGTTAGATATGCTGTTTGTTGTATAAAATGTTGTAATGAAATCAGTGTTATTGCCTAGAGTCGATAGATGTAGGATGGGATTAATCCTTTTACAATAATTTGATTTGTTCTTAATAATGATTTTTTTTTTTTTGGAGTTTTTAGGATTTATTTTTGCTTTGTTTATTTAACCATTTCATCTGTACTAATTTTGTTTGTTTAAAAAGGATATTTCCTATTTCATGACAACACTTCGATGTGATTCTTTTGCAGATGAAGGAAAATATTTTAATACGTTTTCTATGCATCATATTAGATCTTGGCCATAGACGGTTTGAAATAAAAGAAATTTTCAATATCCATTAATTTGAATATGAAATGCGTTACACTGAAATCATCTTATAGGAAACTTGGTATCTCATACAGAAGACGGGACAACATATGATATTTTATAGACGTCATATATACTAAAATAACTCAGGGCATGTACTGTGTGAGAAGTGTTGAGAGAAATTGGAATTATTACTATCAATTTTTTCTTAATTATATATAAAGTATATGTCAACAATGTGCGTGAAATAAATAATATATGTGTAATATACGTTATTTGTTAATTTATGAATTTTTTTATATAATTTGTTTATGTTGTGGATAAGTATCCTTTCCAATTTTATAGTTAGTATAGAAATTACAGTCATGCTATTTATAGGGGTGTTATGATAACTTAATTACTATAATCCATAAAAAATTGATTGCCGCAGAATATTTGTTGATTCCGAATTAAATCTGTTAATACTTTGTTAGATTATCTGCGGGATACAAACAAGTCGTGACACTGTTAACCCATGTCGTGTGTGATTGAAGGAAATTTTATCCTAATCACGACATCAAATCTGAGAATTGTGGCATCACATGTCACCCAACGTCTTACCACACGTCTTACAAATGTGAATATTATAATCAAACACCACGTATACTACTTAAATTTCGCATCAAGTACAAAATTCATTCTCGTTGCCTTCGAGTACAAGCTCCGTGCGTGCATTTTTATCTAATCATGTAGAGTAGGATTTCCTTAATAATTTTATCATATTTATGTTTTTTTTTTTTTAAATAATTAATGTGTTATGAAATATCTAAATATGAATAACTATTATCCTATATACAATTTGAACATTTTAAAGTTGGGTATTTAACCTTATCCGATGATGGAACCCTAAAATAATATACATGTATATAAATCACGTACTAGATGAAATGATATATAGAACGTAAACAAAATTTCTATCTATAATTCTCTTTTATATTTAACACGGTATGAGCACCATAGCCAAATAACCAAACGAACGAAGGACTTTAACCATATTAATATTAGCAATTTTACAAATTCTCCCGCTAAAAAAGGTACCCGATATTTCTGTTTTATTTCTCCTAAATTATGATTTTTGAATCTATAATTAAAAACATGGTTGATGATATATACTTCACAATACGAGTTCTCCAATTTAAGCTTTTAAGGACACCATTGAATTATCTATTTAAGGTGTAATCATATTTTTAATATTATATGCTTTAATGGATTACTTTTTGATGCATACAATTATAGTTTACTGTAAATTGCCAATGAATTATTTAAAGTAGTACTGCTTGGGTATTTGTATTGACGTAGGCTTTATTTTGTTTTATCAGGGATCGTTTTCTGTAGAATAATTAACAACTAATTCAGAGTTAAGCAATGAATTCTTCTTAGACATAGTCACATGTTTCATATCCTCTAATGCTATAGAATAATTAACCATTATTTGTGATTGTTTCTAATTCCATCATAATAGTCTGAAACACTTACATATGATTGCTTAAATTTATAATGCCTTGTCTATTATGCATGGGGTTATGTATTGGAATATCTATATATTATTCATAATTGTATTATATAACAAACTAATTAGATCATCTAGAATTTAATGATTATAACGATTAAAATTTATTAGCTAGGTAATACTTCACGTAACGTCACGTTGTCGCGATTAATGAATTTTGGTAGTGTGATATAGCAAACTAATTAATTAGATCTTCTAGCATCAAATTGTTTTTTTTAGTTATAAGTTTAATAATCCATAATTGTAACTTTAAGGGTATGCGATTAAGCGGTTTCTCCGTTTTATATGGAGTACTAATCCCTACAAGTAAAACAAGGCATACAACTCTAATTATGGTACGACTCAGATGAGATTTTTCAGTAGGTTGCAAATACTTATAGACTAGTTTGGCATATGATAATTATGTAGGAGTTTATAGGTATTACGTAGCGGAAAAACATGAATCATATTCAATCAAGTACCAATCCCAAGAATCACATGCATAACACACAAGACACATAATCATACCTTTGACGCGTGAATTCCACGAAGCTATTCGACAGGCAAATCAGGGAGAGAATAGAGCCCCAAGCGTTGCTCCTCTACTTAGTCCACGAGATTCGAACAAGCCGTCCACCAATACTAGATTGGTCGAGTGATTGAGGAAAACCGCGATCACCACCTTTATGGACAACCGACCACCGCACGAACCACCACCACGACACACCACCGGCGCCTAGGAGGAGGAAAGAGCCGTGTATGAGAGAGGACTATGAGAGGGGTTAGGTTTCGTGTTTTTTTTTTCTAATTAGGGTTTGATCACACTGATCAGTTAATTGCTTCCTTGCTGCAAACCTAGGCACCTAGTCTATTTATAATCTCATTATAATTAGACTAGGGCACGAAGCCCAAAACTTCTTTGTCCACTCCATATGGCCGTCCACCTAGAGAGATGAGGCCCGTGATGGGCCTCGTCCTCTAATGCTCGATCTAGCCCCTTTGTGTGACCTTATAGGATCCTTCCAATTGGGCTTTGGGCTATTTTACTAGTCCAAAAATCGTTAGTACCTCTAGCTATGGCAAAATGACGACCCAAATGTACGAACTTAATTATCTCCATAATTTGATCCATTTATATATCTAGTAATTGTACACGACGAAGACATAACTCCTTCAATCTCCCACTTGTCTGAGACAAGGGTGCAATATTCAAATTCCTTAAGTCAATATATGTGTCGATTTGATATATGATTGCATCACATGTCGAGATCATATTAATCTACAAATCGTTTCTTGAAATCTGAGTTAGAATTATAAAACCAAATGATTACTGTGTAATGCATTTGAACGCGGCCACGTATTTTTCTGAATTCTCCCTCTTCAAGCGGCCATGACACATTTCCTAATTTAATAGGTAGACTCTATCCAATCTTGTGGTAACATGACTCCCACTCAACTTCTGAAATAACCGGGAAACACCCTTTATAATCTCCAGTTACGGCTAGACGTTTGAGTGTACCACAGTCACAACATCCATTGAATGAAATCAATGTTCCACTCATGTCAAAGGAATCCACTAATATATACGGAAGCTCTATACTTGAACTTCAAAGTAGGTCAATAGCTCGATCATGCATCATTCATGCATATCCAAGTGATTGACTGAGCATCACTATGCCCCTATAGCCCATGAAACTGCGCTATCCAATCAATCTTACATGCTAGTTCTTTTATTGAAATCATTTATGTCCACGTTAATGATCTCGAACTAGGAACTTTAAATAATGTATGAATTTTGTTCACCTGTGGGGTTTCAATTCACCAGGTCATCAACCTGATGAGCCCATCAATTCATAATTATTTTGGACATTTTATTTAATTTCCAAAACCATAATTAAATAAGAGAAATAATAATTTCTATTAAACATAATTCTGCAAATTGATGCATTTCTCATGTAATATGCTTTCTCAAAACATATACAACTTAAATTACATAACTTGCTTCAATCCAAGACTTTAATATGACTCTCATATCTTAGTCCATGGAAGGGGTTTTAGTGATTTCTCACTCATAATAAAACTTTGCAAAACACGACCTTCCGCTGGTCAATGATCTCATAATTGAGGTGATATCTCATATCCTTTTGTTTGGATTTGTGATGTGACTCTGGCTCCTTTGTTCTTGGGCAAAGGTGACATGTTAGTCACATGACATTTTAATCCAAACTTCCTCTGTAACTATCCGACTATAGTTTAATACACATATTCTGACATTGAGTATGCAACA